TGCACCACAGGGCTTGCAAAATCTTAGCTCCCTGACCAGGGATTGAACCTGGGCCCTCTGCACTGGGAGTTTGCAGTCTTTTTTTTTTTTTTTAAGATGTATTTACTTTGGGTTTTGCTGGATCTGCAATACTGCACGTGGACTTTCTAGTTGTCGCGAGCAGGGGGCTACTCTCTAGCTGTGGCTGGAGGGCTCTAGAGTACAGGCTTAGTTGCTCTGAGACATGTGGGATCTTCCTGGACCAGGAATCAAGGTCCCCTGCATTGGCAGGCGAATTCCTTACCTCTGAACCATCATTGAAGCCTGTGAGTTCAGAGTCTTAGCCACTGAACCATCAGGGGTGTCCCTAGATCCTCCTATGTCTTTAAAATATAAATTTTTAGAAATACACTTGGTGGTGGGGTTGGGGGCGGGGGGTGGCCCTCCCTGGTGGTGTAGTGGCTGACTGCGGACTCCCAATGCAGGAAACCTGGGTTAGATCCCTGGTCAGGGAACTAGAGACTCCGTATGCCACAACTAAGACCTGGTGCAGCCAAATAAGTAAAAATAAACATTAAAAGAATAATAAATTTTAAAATAAAACTTTTTTTAAAAAAAGAAATACATTTGAGGGGTAGACCCCTGGCAGTCCAGTGGTTAGGATTCAGTACCTTCATTGCCCAGGTTCAATCCCTGGTTGGGAAACTAAGATCTTACAAGCCACATAGTGTGGCCAAAATTTTTAAAAATAAAAAAAATTTTTAATGTTTAATTTTTAATGAAAAATACATTTGGGGTTGAAATTCTAACATTCCATTTCACACCAAGCATGTGTCACTAGACACACATGTAGGATACGTCTTTTATGAGCAGATATGCAAATAATGCAAACACCAGACCACACATGGCTCATGTGGTTGTTTAGGTGCTGGATAAAGTGGCTACCCCATCAACAGGCACAAGAAAGTACATACACTACTGTCCTAATGTTACTCTTTAAATTTGTATATAAAACAAAGACATAGAGAAACATCTATAAACCCTATAAAATCTATGTACCCTGGCTTTGCCATGTCCTCAGATAAGTCACTTAACCTGTCTGTCTATGCCTCAGATGTTCTGAGGTTGAATGTTGCCATACCAACACATATGTACAAATGAAGTCTAAAAATATTAACCCTCTGGGGGGCAAGATCATATACTTTGGCTTTTTCATCTTCAATTTACAAATGTTCTAAAGGATTATTGTTGTTCAGTCACTTAGTCATGTCTGACTCTTTGTGACCCCATGGATTGCAGGTTTCCACGTCCTTCACCATCTCCAGAGTTTGCTTAAACTTATGTCCATTGAGTCAGTGATGCCATCCAACCATTTCATCCTCCATTGGCCCCTTCTCCTCCTGCCTTCAATCTTTCCCAGCATCAGGGTCTTTTCCAATGAGTCAACTCTTCACATCAGGCGGCCCAAGTATTGGAGTTTCAACTTCAACATCAGTACTTCCAATTAATATTCAGGGTTGATTTCAAGATGGACTGGTTTGATCTCCCTGCAGTCCAAGGGACCCTCAAGAGTCTTCTCCAACACCACAGCTCAAAGGCATCAATTCTTTGGTGCTCAGCCTTTTTCAAGGGTTATTAATTTTATAGCAAGGAGTGGAGGGAGAAAAGATTTACATTAAAAAAATAAAAAACCACGTAAATTTTAAAAGGTGGTCCAACCTCAAACTGGAATATTACTCAGACAAGAAGAGTGAAGCCCTGACACTTGCTACAGTGTGGATGGGCCTTGAGAACACGATGCTCAGTGAGATGCCAGACACAAAAAACTGAGTCTTACGAATTTAATTACATGAAATATCAATAACAGGCAAATTGGCAGACAAAAAGTGGGTTGATGGTTGCCAGGGGCTGGGGTAGGGGTGGGAATCTAACAGGGACTCTTTGGGGGAAATGAAATTCTGAAACTAGATAGAGATGATTACACAACTGTGCAAATATACTAAAACCTACTGTATACTTTAAGTGGGTGTTATGTCATGGGCAATATATCTCAATAAAACTGCTATAAAATTAAAACTACCAAGTCAACCAGGAACTCAATACACCTAATACTGGAATTATTTTCTGCAGAGCAGTTCACATACACTTTGCCGGGGTTTGCTCATTTTTTAGGCATTTTAAAATATTTTTTATATTTATTTGGCTACCTTGGGTCTCAGTTGCAGCACATGGGGTCCAGCTTCCTTGCACTGGGAGCACAAAGCCTTAGCCACTGGTTGACCAGCGAAGTCCATGGGGTTTGCTCACTTCTAACGACAGCTTCCTTAACTTTTGAGAAACAAAAAATATTCTACAATCTTGACAACGTACCTCAGTGTGTCCTGCTCCCATGTGTGGCCCCCCTGCAGACACCTAAGCCCACCTGGGGACATTATTTCTTGGTTCCTCATAAGAGGGCCTCTTTTTTATTTCATGTTCACACTTTGACCTGAGATATAACTCACATGCCACACAATTCAAAGGATTTTAATGCATTCACAGGTATTGCCATCATCACCAAATTTAGGACATTTTTATCACCTGCAAAAGAACCCTGCACCCTTTAGTTCCCCACCTCCTCCATCCCTCGCCAGGTCCTGTCATCACTACATGAATCTGCCTTCTGTCTCTATGGATCCCTGTTTGGCATTTCATATGAATGAGAAAATATATCTTTTGTAACTAGATCACCTGGAGAAGGACATGGCAACTGACTCCAGTATTCTTGCCCGGAGACATCCCGGGACAGAAGAGCCTGGGGGACTATAGTCCATAGGGTCACAAAGAGTTGGACACTGCTGAGCACCACTAGCACTACTTTTACTTAGCATGATGTTTTCAAGGACACACTTGAGGGTCCCGAAGAGGCAGAGCTTTATTATTTCTTACATCCACCCCCAGCATTATAGAACCATCAGTACAAGGTGCCAGTGGTAGGTTGGCATCTGTAGAACTCGCCAGTTAACTTCCCTGGAACTGTTCAACTTGCCTCATTGTTGGGGAATTCCCAGTGATTAGGATTCCATCCTTCTATTGCAGGGGGCATGGATTCAATCCCTGGTGGGGGAACTAAGATTCTGCAAGCCAAGCCACGAAGGCACAGCCAAAAACAGGAGCAAATCTGCAAAATGTGCCTCATCCTTGGACTCTTGACTCCCACTGGAAACAGCATTTCAGTCCATCTGTCTCCATACCCCACGTGCACCCATCCCCCTAGGCCTGCAGAGGGTCCCACAGGGTAAAGCAGTTCCCTAGATGATGGTCCAGGCTGCTGACGCCCACTTAACGCAGGGCCAGTCTCCTCATGGGGGTTCCATGATAGCCTCTGTTTCTTCAAGTGTAAATGGGGACAGTGCCACCCCCCTTAGAGACACTAAGTGACCTCTGGTTCCAAGCTGGAAGGCCCAGTTTGGCCCCTCTAGACCACTACCCATCACTTGGATCTTCTGGGCCTCAGTTTTCTCACCTACAAAGTGGAAATGATGCTACTTGTCTAGCATCCTGGGTATTTCTAGATAGAGAAAACATGTTACAAGTTACAGAAGTGCCTAGTAGGCTACAGGGCAATTTGCAAACAAAAAAACACAACCAAACCCATCTGTAAAAGGCATTTATTCTGAGAATCTAAAACCTGGACAGAGAATATTGAACTTTGTAAAAAAAAAAAAAAAAAGCCTACACAGGATTTCGGTGTTTATTCCTAATACATTAAACCACCTAATAATGAAGTAAAAAAGAGAAACTTTTAAAACAGTATTGCTCCAGTTTGTCTGCAGTTATGTGACTTAAAAATATCCCTGTTCTGTTGAGGTATAAGCTGCAAACTTTGGTAAAGTTAGAAACATTAACGAATCATTCCCCAAATACAAAACTCCCCCCTGACAAAAAAAGAGAAAAACACAACCAAACCCTACAGTTATTAGCTTCCTTGGTACATATACAGTAACTACAAAAAAAAAAAAAAATTTCATTTGGAAAAGGTGTTTATTCATTTTAAAAGGTTTCCCTCTTGTAATTCCCAATTGGTGAGTTGAAAATTCAATTTTGAGGATCCACAAAACCCTGATCGTCCCACCCGCTCGCCTGGGATCCCCAGGGAGGCACTGGAGGACCCCAGTTTGAGAATCCGGTTGGCATTGTCAATAATTCAGTGCTGAGAAAGAGCCCCGGGTTGAAAAGGAGGGAGGGACCAAAGGCACTTGAATGTGGCCCCGGGCGTGGCTTCCGTGGAGTCAGGTCGGGACGGCGCTGGGCCCCATGGAGGGGAGGGTCCGGCGGAGGTAGCTTCGGTGTGGCCCCAGGTTTCTGCTCGGGTAGCGGGTGGCCTGTGTGCGGTGGGGACGCGGAGGCAGCCCGGTGGGGGATGGCTTGAAGGTAAGGGTTTCAACTGGCCCCAGTGGGACTTCTCCGCTTTTCCTTGGAACAGTTTCCTGCTGGTGATGCGGGGCCAACACCTGGGTGTGCTGACACCCAGGACCACAGCCTTGCTGGGTCTTAGGCGATGGAACTTCACCTCTGGGGGCCCGACCCACCAAACTTGAAAAGATTGTTCTAGGCAGCCCGGTGCCTTCTTGCGAGTCGGTGGCGGGGATGGCTGAGAACTCAACTCTGGGAACTTAAGCAGCCTTCACACCAACTCATTTCTAATCCCATCCTCAGAAGAAAAACCAGTTTTTGAAAAACTTTCTTGTTTTGGGTTGGGTTTTTTTTTTTTTGCTGATAAAATTGCAGGCTTTTTGTTAAAAACCAAAATAAAAACACTGAGAAGTCCAACTTTGTTCCTTCCTTTGAGCCATAATACAAATTCCTGAAAAATTCATAGATTAAAAAAAAAAAAAGGGAAGACGAGGCAGTTTTAGGGAGCGGAGGGAAAAACTACATGTTTAAGTTAAGCCCACTAAAAACGAAATGGGGGCCACGGACCCCTCTGATAACGTTTTTTTTTAAAAAAAAAAAAAAACTTGGCGAGAAGTGCTTGAGGATCACCGCCCACTGCCATAGCCGGGGAAGAGCTGGCTGAGCACGGCCTGCAGCGGCTGGTTCACGGTCATGGCGTAGCTCCGGCCCAGGTCATAGCGACAGGCCGGGCAGCTGAACACCTGGGCCTTGAAGGACCTGTCCAGGCAGTCCTGTGGGAGAGGGGGCAGGTGAGAGGTGATCCTGGCCACCCAAGGTCCCCTGGGGCAGCACCAGGCACCCAGAGGCCCCTCCTGACCCTCAGTCTCATTTTCCACTGCTGGCAGCCCATGACTGGCCCGGCTGCCCCAGGCTCATCAAAGACACCAAGGGTGGAACTTCCCAGTGGTCCAGTGCTCAGGACTCTGCACTCTCACTGCCAAGGGCCCACGTTCGATCTCTGGTCAGGGAGCTAAGATCCTACAAGCTGATCGATCAGTGTGGCCAAAAAAAAAAAAGAGACTCCCAGGTCATCCTGGCTGCCAGGCTCCTGCACCGGGAGGTCACACCACCTGGCAGGTCTCCCCGGCTCTCTCAGCACTGGTGCTGGAGTCTCCTGCTCAGAGGACCCTTCTCCAAGGCGCCCTGGAACGTCAGAACGGCGCCCCTCACCACACCCTGTCTGCTTCCGAACAGCACCTTTCTCCTTCTACATCTGTCTGACAGACTGATGTGCTTGCGTGTTAACGGAGCAGACGCTCCCCACGATTAGGGGCCGTGTCTCCCTGATGTTCCCCACACCAAGCATAGGACCCAGCATAGAGCAGAGGCTCAATAAAGATGTGTCGGTGAGAAGGCAGGAGGAAAGGGGAGAAGGATGGAGTTTGGATTCTGAGCCAGACTTCTGGGTTCGAACCCAGTCGTCAACCAAACAACGCGGAGGGTGGTGTGGGGAGGAAGAGTCAAGTGTGGAGACCGAGCTGCAAGCCTGAGGGGCCCTGGAGAGCTGACCTCCCCACGAGAGGAACAGGCTGGAGATGGTGCCCACGGGGGCAGAGACACCTGCACAGGTATGCACACCTGAAGGATGGCCAGACGGCTGGGTGAGGGGCAACGCCAAGCAGGTGAAAACCTGCTGCCGCTGGAGGAGGGCAGTGGCTTTTGTATTAAAAAATACAGTGGCTCCTGTATTTAAAAATCCCTGCGTTCTTTTCCAGTATAAAGTCCATAGCTGACGGCAGACACAAGAGACAGTAACTTTGTGCTCAATGCACTGACTCAGGTTCAAAATCAGGTGCTGGACTGCTGCGAGCTTCACAGTGGCCAAGAGGTGGAAACACCTAGAGCTCACTCACAGATGATGGATCAACACAACGTGGTCCATCTGCATGTTGCAGTGTGACTCAGCCTTCACACGGAAGGAGATTCTCACCCACGGGACAACACGGGTGAGCCCTGAACTTGACGCTCCAGGAGAGAAGCCAGACCCAGAAGGACATACACTGTCTGATGCCACTCACAGGAGTTCCCTGGAGAAGTCAGATCCACAGAAACAGTAAGTATCAGTCAAGAGTGGGGCCAGGGGCTGGGAGTCAGTGTTTAACAGCGACAGGGTTTCAGTTTGAGAAGATGGGAAAGATCCGGTTATGGAGCTTTTTAAAGTCACACAGCCAGAAAGGAGAGAGTTGGAGGTCAAACCCAGGCAACTGATCCCAAAGATGTGCTCTCTATGCCACCCTGCCAAGCCTCTGAACCCCCTTGGGCCCCATGTGGCCTGGGGCACCAGGGGGTATCTTTCCCAGTCTCCATCAGGCCACGTAGCACATGAGCACTGTCCAAGTGCTCCACGTTCTCAGGGTCCCTCCCCTGGTCTGACAACTGACCCAATGCCCTGGACACAGCTCAGCGACCCAGAGTGAGCAGGTGCCAGGGACAGTCCCTTCTGAGCTGCCTGCCTGCACTGCCCGTAGGTTCCTACAGACTTGACTCTGGCCAGAAGGCACGCCAAAGATGCCGTACATGCAGCCCAGTACTTCCCAACTCGGGGGACACCTGGGACCAAGTAGGTGGGGCCAGGGATGCTGCTCAGCTCCTAGGACACCCCCACAATAGAGGACAATCCAGCCCCAAAGTGGTGAGAGACCCTGGTCCAGGACCCATCTCAGCCTCTCCCAATCTCTCTTTCAAAAGCATCAGATTGGAGACTGCTTCCTTCCTAAAACTGACCACTGGCTGGAGGCTCCAGCCCCACTCACTAGCCCTCATTCCCCACAGGCCCTGGCTACTCCCATGAGCCTGCCTGATCCTGTCTACCAGGGATGCTGCCCCGAGGCCCCTCTCAGGGGGCAGGTTAGTGCCACCTCATCCTCCAGGCGGCTTTCCTCCCAGCTCCTCTAGGTGATAAGTGCCTCACACCTCTCCAGCCCTGCCTGAGGCCCACTTAAATAATTTAGTATGACCAGACGGCAGAGCAGGACAACAGCCCATCCTCCCCCACCCAGGCAGTAAGATGCTGGAGAAGACCAGTGTGTGACCCCCAAGGAAGGCAGGCACGCACCAGCCTGTTGAGGGCACAGCAGAGGGCCAGTGTGGCTGGAGGCTCAGGGCGGTGGCAGGGCAATGGGCACCTGTGATGAAGGCTGGTGGGGGAGGGGAAAGCAACTGTAACCCAGGCAGCCTGGGAAACAGACCCTGAGGCCCCTGGAAGGGCAAGGGGCAGGAGGTACGAGTGAAGCCAACAAGCACAGGGTGGCGGCAGGGGTCAGAGCACCCGCCGGCCCCCACGGCCACCCCCTCACCTTGCACACGTTGTGCTGGCACACGGTCGTGATTGGGCGGAACACCAGCTCCTGGCAGCAAATGCACTGGAACGTCTCCTCCACTTTGCTCAGGAATTTCTGAAAGCGGAAGAGCAGGTGTGTGAGTCCGGCAGAGGCTCGGCTCCCCAGAATGAAGGAGCACGACAGGTCTCCAGATGCCCTGCTCGGCCCTCACCCCCGAGTCCTGAATCTCATCCTCCTGCCCCTGCCCTGGGAGGACAGGAGTCACTGTGACCCTGTCTGAGGACCAGAAGACAGAGGGCCTGGAGCCGGGCGGAGCGCATGCAGACTCGAGGTCAGGGCCAGGTTCTGTCAGTGCTTGCCTCGGAGCAGAGCCCAGCCCTGCGACACGCAGCGCCACCTGCCCGCCGCTCAGACACCCAGGTCCAGCAGGGTGCAAAATGGAGAAACATCTGCTTTCTTGGAGCCTGGGGCCCAGCAGGGAAGACTGAAGACAGGCAGGTGGAAGACAGAAACGCAGCAGTGCTGGGGGACAGCAGGGAGCAAGGAGCGGCTGCCCCGGAAGGACAGGGCGGGGGGTGGACCGAGAGCCTGCCACGGAGAAGCTGATCTGTCAACAGTGACCGGAAGGACTGAACCTCAGCCTCCTGAGACCTCATGTCTGAATCCTGGGACCTGCGGACCTGTCACCCACCACACACAGCAGAGGGGACTTGGCAAGAGGGATTAAGGTTCCTGAGATGGGGATGACCCCGGGTTCCTAGTGTCATCACAGGGTCCTTTTAAGAAGAAAGAGGAGGGTCAGAGGCAGAGACAAAAGATGCTGAGCTGCTGGCTTCAGGATGGAGGGAGGGGCCACAAACCAGGGATGCGGTGCCTCTAGAAGCTGGAAGAGTCAGGAGTCGAAACTCCCCAGGAGCCTCCAGAGGGACCAGACTTGCCCAGGCCTGGGTTTTACCCCTAAAGGCTTACTTGTTAGGGCAGACACAGTGATTTCACACAGGAGAGAGGCTGAGCCAGGAAGGCTGGGGGGAAGGGACTCTGGGCAGAGAAACCCACGAGAAGGCTGTGAGACAGGATGGCAGGGAGGAAGACAACAGAAGCAGAGGGCGTCAGCGGTGACAGGCAGCTGGCCCAGGGCTTAGCGGGGTTTGGGTTTGGTCCTGACTGTGAGCCAAGCAGAGGTGGTCCCCACCAGGCAAGGACAGAGGACGCCAATGCCAAGACACTCGCCTGCAGTGACCCATCAATGTCACTCTACCCACTAAGGCAGGAGGATCAAACAAACAAAAAAAATTGACCTGGTTTGGTGGTTTCTGGGAAATTTGAAGACAGAATGACCCTAGGAACCAGCAATCCCACTTCGAGGTTTATACCCAACAGAACTAAAGGCAGGGTCCTAGAGTCACCTACCCACCCATGTTTACAGCAGCCCCTTCACAACAGCCAAAGCTGGAAGCAACTCAAGTGTCCAATGAGACAATGGGTAAGCAAATTCCATTCATGTGGTGGAATATTACTCGGCCGTAGAAAGGAAGGAGGTTCCAACACGGATGGACCTTGAGAGCGTGATGCTCAGAGAGAAGCCAGACTCAGAAGGGCACACACTGTCTGATCCCACTCACAGGAGGTCCCTGGAGGAGTCAGATCCACAGACAAGAAGTAGATGGTGGGGCCAGGGGCTGGGGGAGAGGATGGGGAGTCAGTGTTTCACAGGGACAGATTCAGTTTAGGGAGATGAGACGTCCTGGAGATGATGGTGGCAATAGTTATACCACAATGTGAATGTGCGCAATGCCACTGAGCTGCGCAGTGCAGAGTGAAGATGGTCAATTTCACACTATCTCCTCCTTATGACAGTGAAAAGGAAACGGCCCCGGCCAGGCAGGAGAGCTCACCGGCCCGTCCTTGAGCGACTTCAGGATCTCGGTCCACAGCTTCATGTTGCTCTTGTCCTCCTTGATGAGGCTGCTCTGCTGGGTGGTGAGGCTGTAGGGCTCCACCTTGGTCTTCTTGGGCGTCCCTTGCGAGGACCCGTCACCTCCTGGGACAGAGCGGGGGGCGGGGTGAGCATGGAGAGTAGAGGGGGGCCCCACCCCTGGGCGCGAGGGTGGCCGCAGAGACACCCACCGGCCGACTTGCTCTTCCGCTTGCCCTTCCTGGGGGATGTGAAGCCCTCCTCCCCGTCCTCCTCCTCCTTGTCCAGGGCTGCCCGCTTGCTGTTCTCCTTTTCCTTTCTGGCCAGGGCCTCCAGGTAGCCCTCTGGGTACTGCGAGTGGGAGAAGACAGGACTGTCACCCCTCCCTGGTCCGGCCCCAGAGACAGACTCTGTGTTCACTCAGTCGCAACCCAGACGTCTCCACCGACCCGACTCTGGAGCAGTGACTGAGCACAGAGACTCACAGGGGCAAACACACAGACACACAGCCTGTGCCTCAGGGTGGGGGTGGCGGGGGAGGAGGCAGAGTGAGACCCCGCACGTTAGAGGCAGCAAAAAAGACAGTTTTGTGTTGTTGCTGTTGTTTAAGCTGTGAACCCACACAGCATGGGGGATCTTAAGTTTCCCAACCACGGACTGAACCCAAGGCCTCAGCAGTGAAAGCCCCGAGTCCTAACCACTGAACTGCTAGGGAATTCCCAAGATAGCCTTTATTAATTTATTTATTCTGCTGCATACCCCGAGGCTTGTGGGATCTTAGTTCCCTGACTAGGGATTAAACTAGGGCCTTCGGCAGTGAGAGCTCGGAATCTTAACCATTGGACCGCCAGGGAACTCCCCCAAGACGGTCTTAATAGTTTTCCATTTGTAAGAGAAGAAGTAGGCAAACTTTTTCCAGCCAGCGGCCAGGCAGTAAGAATTTCAGGCTCTGTGCTGCCAACAGCCCGCCCAACCCCCGTGGGGATGATGGGCATGGCTGGCCCCCAAGATGACCTCATTTACCATACACCAGGTCCAGGCCTTAGCTCCATGACCTTATTCTGATGGGTCCTGCATTCCTCCAAGTCCCAGAAGGCTTTATTAGAACCCCATTTCTTTTTTGTTTCAGTTTGGCCTGGGAGTATCTGGGATCTAAGAGGATCCTCTGAGAGGATGTGGGATCTAAGTTCCCTGACCAAGGACTGAACCCGCGCCCCTTGCAGTGGAAGCTCGGAGTCGTAACCACTGGATCGCCAGGAAAGCCCCTAGAACCCCATCTCTAAGGCACCTACAATCACGTCCAATTCTCCAATGTTCCATTAACAAACCTTCAAGCTTTCCTAGTAATGTGAACGTACTGTGAAGACTTAAGTCCTAAATAAAAATCTTCCTCTCACTAAATAGTTCCTGACCCTCGGCTGTCTGCCTCCTCAGTTCCTCCGCTTCTGAATTCCCTGCGGTATAAACACTGCTTCAAAAGACAACCCTCTGTGCCCCGCCCAGGGGGTAGGCTCTATCAGACTCTCAACAGCAATTAAGATTCCTGAAATAGTCCCACCACGACGTATCAGCTGTAAAGCCGCTCACCTTGAGGAACAGAAAACACCATAATTATAGTGCAAAAAGGCAGTGTTCCCCAGGCACTGGGTGAACTCTTGGAAAAGGAAGATTCTGTAGTCATAGAGAAGAGCAATTGGTCCAGGGGCGCGATCCACCTTATCTTTACATTTAGACTCCTCTCAATCTCTTATGGGCTTCCCAGGTGGTGCTAGTGGTTAAGAACCCGCCTGCCAACACAGCAGACATGAGACCTGCGATCGACTCTGGGTTGTAAGATCCCCTGGAGGAGGGCGTGGCAACCCACTCTAGTATTCTTGCCTGGAGAATCCCATGGACAGACAGGAGCCTGCGGGGCTACAGTCCATGGGGCTGCAGAGTCGGACATGACTAAAGTGACTTAGCACACATGCCCTGCCTAGTAATGTTAATCTATTTAGACCAATTGTGTTGGTTTGTCAGCTTTGGGGTTAGGAAGGGGTGAGGGACAGAGAGGAAGAGTAGAGATGGGGACTTCCCTGGTGGTCCAGTGGTTAGGACTCTGCTTCTACTTCAGGGTTCCATACCTGGTCAGGGAACTAAGAGATCCCACATGCCACATGGTGTGGTCAAAAAAATAAAAAGAGAGAGAGAGAGAGATGGAAAAGGAGAGGAGAGGAGAAGGTGGAGGGGACTGGCCAAGAGAAGAGATCAGACTCCAGATTGATTTCGGATAAGCGCCTCTAAGACAGCTCTGATAAGGAAGCCCAGCTCTCAGCTCTAACCACAAAAGCAAAGCCTTGGGGCTTCTCCGCTGGCCCAGGGGTTAAGAATTTGCGTGCCAACACAGGAGACACCAGTTTAATCCCTGGTCCAGGAAGATCCCATGTGCTGAAGAGCAATAGTCCATGCACGACAGCTATTGAGCCTGTGCTCTAGAGTCTGGGAGCCACAACTACTGAAGCCTGAACGCCCTAAAGCCCACGCTTTGCGACAAGAGAAGCCACTGCAGTGAGAAGCTCAGGCATCACAGAGAAGAGCAGCCCCCACTTGCTGCAACTAGAGAAAGCCTGAGTACAGCAACGAAGACCCAGCACAGCCAAAAGATAGTAAATAAATCTTTAAGAATATTATTATTTTTTTGTTTAAAAGGCAAAGCCACGTGCACACCTGAGCCACCACCCCCTCAACAGCCTCTGGTTGAAGGACGAGGCGGGGAAAGTCAGGGAGGTACCACCTGTTCGCAACCTGGAAATCATCCAGGATGAGAGAAACCCTGGAGAGTAAGGCCCTGCCGGCCAGACGCTCCCTGCCCGGGCCCCCGGCTGGCTCTGGTCTGGCCGCAACGCACCTGCATGGTCAGCCCCAGCTTCTTGATCCGGTCCTTGCCCTCCTTGGTCCAGGGCCCCGGCTCCACGTCATCTCGACGGAGGAGGAAGCGCCACACCAGGAAGCCAGACTTGCCCTTCTCGGGCCAGTACCTGACAACCTACGGAGGGAGGGGAGCGGGGGTCAGAGGGCATCATGCTAGCACGGGGGCGGGGCGGCGGGTGCAGGCTCAGGGGCCCCGCTCACCTTGTAGATGCCGTCGTACCGGTTGCCCTCGATGGGCGCATACTTGCTGTGCTTGCGGCCCTTGACGTTCCGCACCACGCGGACTGGCTTCCCCGATCGCCAGTCCTTGGCCTCGGCCCCTTTGAGGTCGTTGATGGGGGCAAAGCAGTTGAGAGCCAGGGCCCTGTGGGGCAAGGCAGGCCCATGCTCTGGACAGTGTCCCCCTGAGACAGGGGGCAGATCACATCCCAGGCACCCAATCGCGTGAATGTGTGACTTTCTTTTGAAAGAGGGTGCTTGCGGATGGGGTCAAGCTCGGCAGCAGTCAGAAAGGACTAGGGTGGGCCCTGAACCCAATGACCTTGTAAGGAAAGGGAAACTGAGGGACTTCCCTGGTGGTCCGGTGGTTGGGACGCCGCGCTCTCACTGTTCAGGGAACTAGATCCCACATGCCGTAACTAAGAGCTCACATGCCTCAAATTAAAACCAGACAATAAAACACACATTTCCCATGCCACAGCTAAAGACCAAGCACAGCCAAACTGGGGGAAAAAAAAATCACAAATGTGGGCCAGGCCAATGGGCCTGTCCCAAGGGAGGGCACAGAGGCCTGGGAGCAGGGGGATCAGAGGTCAGCCCAGCTGCCCTCTTTTTAAACAAAGATATTTAGGCAAAGAGTTTTCTGGAAAGCAAGAAATACCAATTAGATTTCTACTAACAATGGAATGCTAGCCTATGCCTTGCCCTTTCCTAACACTGGAGAATCTGGGCAGCTTTACAGGATAAATAAATAGGAACTCATCATTGCTTCAACGTGTATTTTTTTGCTCACTAAAGATGAATAAATTTTCATGGTCACTGGGATCTCATTACATTGCAGAATGATTTGCACATCCTTTGCTTTATTCTGTTAGTTTTTCTTGTTGATTTGCAACAGCTCTTTACATAGAAGGCATAACTGTCAGGTAATGGCACCCTACTCCAGTACTCTTGCCTGGAAAATCCCATGGACGGAGGAGCCTGGTAGGCTGCAGTCCATGGGGTCACCAAGAGTCGGACACAACTGAGCGACTTCACTTTCACTTTCCTTCACTGGAGAAGGAAATGGCAACCCACTCCAGTGTTCTTGCCTGGAGAATACCAGGGACGGCAGAGCCTAGCGGGCTGCCGTCTATGGGGTCGCACAGTCAGACACAACTGACGTGACTTAGCAGCAGCAGCATCCTGCTTATGGCAGACTTTCCCCCAAGAGTCACCTGCCTTTTCTGCACACTTATGGCTGTTGTGTGATTTATAATATTTAAAGGTCATCAGATCTCTATCTTTTCCTTTGTGCTCTATGTTTATGCTTTACCCCATCCTGTAATTGCGGCTCAGGAAACTCCTTCCCACATAGTGGTGTTGCAAATAAAGTTTTATTGGAACAGAGCCATGCATATCCTCTTCCATGGGCTCTGTGGCTGCTTATGTGCTATGAGAGCAGAGCTGAGTTGCTGCCACAGAGACCATGCAGCATGCAGAGCCAAATATGTTTATTATCTGGCCTTCTGTGAGAAAGTTTGCTTCACTGTGACTAAATGACTCACAAGTGGACAGAGCAGGGGAGAGATGGACCCTACGTACCACATTGTTTTTTGGCCATGATATGCGGCATGTGGGATCTTAGTTCCCCAACCAGGGATGAAACTCATGTGCACTGCAGTGGGAGGGCAGAGTCTTAACCATTGGACTGATAGACAATCCCACCACCACAGTCTTAATGGGAATCTAACTTCCTGCACGTAATGGCTCCAAAACAGAACACAGCCCCTCCCCTGTGCAGCCACCCAAGGATGAGGCAGATGTGCGCCTGAGAAACAGTAACACTCTGCTCTGCAAACCTGTTGGTGTTGGTGAGTTTCTGATCACAAGACTGTTCTGCAGTCCGCTTGTTTCCAGAAAGGTCTCGTCCACCGCTACCTGTGTACGTGAACGAGTTCCCATGGTCCTGAAAATGAGACAGAGGGCAGGCTAAACCCTGCACGCATGGGAAAGGAGATATACCCTCAAAATGAACCCACACATGCCCATGAGGATGCCAACTGTCAAAGACCCAAGGTGTCAGGACCAGCGACCAAAGAAACAGGTAACACCAAGTGTGGGTGAGATTGTGGAGAAACTGAAACCCTGTGTGTGGCTGGTGAGGATGGAAGCTGGTATGGCTGCTTTGGAAAACGGTATGGACATTCCTCACAAATTAAAAACAGAGTCACCGCAGGCTAGCAATCCCATTTCTGAGTTTATACCCAAAAGAAGTGAAAACAGGGACATGAAGAGATCTGTGCAGACCCAGGTTCACAGCAGCATTATTCACAGGGGCGAGAATGTGGAGACAACCCAGGCATCCACGGATGGATGACTGGATAAACAAAATGTGGTCCAGCCACACACTGGAATATTACCCAGTCTTAAATATTACCTGTTACAGCATGGATGAACTCTTAAGGACAAGATGCTCAGGGAGATAAGCCAGGCACAGAAGGATAAATATATGATTCTATTTATATGTCAGATCCATAGAGACAGAAAGCAGATGGTACAGGTCAGAAGCTGGGGGAAGGGATGGGGACTCAAGTGTTTAGTGGTGAGAGTCTTGGTTTCAAAAGATGCAAAAGTTTCTGTGGATGGATGATAGTGACAGTCGCATGACAGTGTGAATGTGCTTAATGCCACTGAGCAGTATACTTAAAAATAGTTATGATGGTTAAGTTTTCTGCTACGTGTATTTGCCACAGTTACACACAAATGAAACCAGCTCCCCATACTCACCACATCGTCCTCATACCCTCCAGCCAGGACCAAGGAGTAGGCCCCGTGGTTGCTCCGGCCATGGATACCCGCCACGTGAGGTCGATGGACCCCCGACTCACTGACCTGTGAACCCACCGAGAGGTAAGTGGACCAGACACTACAGAAAAGCTCAACCGCCCTCACTCCCGCCTTCAGAGCCAGAGTCTGACCCTTCTACGCAAACACATCACTCCTGTTAAGAGAACCCTCAGTCCCTGAAGGCAAGAGTCCAAGCCATATCAGGGAAGGACCTGGTGTGAACCCCAGCCTAGCCTCCTGCCCTTGGGGTGGCCCTCCCCGGCAGACGGGCTGCTGGAAGGCCAGCGCCCGCTGACTGAGCTGCAGCGCCCGACATCTGCACGTACCTGGACTCGGAACCTCCACATGGTGCCCACGGGGATGCCCGGGATGGGGCCGAAGTGGTTGGACGGCACGATGGTGCACTCCTTGGTGCGGCCCACGCACGCCATGCCCTGTCCATTCCGAAACAGAGGGGAGAGCAGCGTGAGTGGCCACAGGAGGGCAGAGGGCAGCGGGGCCCTCCAGAGCCCAGGGCCCCCTCACCTTGCCCCAGTCCCGCTGCGAGGACGATGTGGCCGACGCCATCTTCGCCTTCTTCTTACTCTCCTTCAGCTTCTCGCCCGCCTGCACCACCTCACTGGAGTCGATCCGGCAGTCGGGGCAGTACCTGTGACCACAGGGACGTCACCCCCTGCCCGAGGCCGCATGGCCGGCCCCCTGCCTTCCTGCACAGCCAAGGCTGCGCATAAGTGCCGAGGCAGGGAACGGCTTCAACTTAAAATTCACGAACTCGACATGCAATCCACTCCCTTGGCCCCACGGGCCACATCAGAAGAGCTTGGTTGCCACATGGGGCGAGTGGCACCCTTGGTGGGCAGCAGACGCTGACCCCTCCCACTGGGAACAGCAGTGCCCGCCACAGTGAAGCCAAGCCCAGCCCCCACGTGGCCAACACGAAGGGCAGTTCAATGGCACCTACTCACTGCCAAGGACTCAGTTCCCTGTCTCTACCAGGAGGGCAGGGGCAGGGCAAAAAACAGCCACCTCTGTTAGTACTTCAGGTTCTCACACTAGAGCTGAGCATCACGACTCTCCCGCTCCAGGCCTGAGACACCCGCTCCTGCTTCTGGCCCACAGCACCTTCCTCCCCTCCGCCAGGGAGCCAGGGCCAGGCCACACGGGAAGGATCCCACATCTGCATCGTCTCGGCCAGCTGGGGGCACTCACCACTCCTCCTCAGGGGGCACACTGCTGAGTGGTGGGCGCAGGCAGTAGATGTGGAAGGCCATGTCGCACTCGTCGCACATCAGCTGCTTGTCGGGATCCTGCTTGCCCCCGCACATGTGGCAGGCGCACATGCGGCATAGCTTCCGCTCATCGTCCTTACAGTGTTTGCAAGAGGGCCCGCTCTTCCCTGAATCCCGGGAAGCAGGGGGATGGGATCAGCTCTGGCAGGGCCCCACCCTGCCATCCTGCACCCCATCACACACACAGCACGGAGGGGTTTTACAGTGTCTGCAGGAGGGCCTGCTCTTCCCTGATGTGGGGTGGGGTGGGGTGTCAGCTCAGGCACGACCCCCACCCCTGCACCCACCCTCAACCCAGCACAGAGGGGCTAGATCAGAACTCACTTCTCATCGGGTTTTCCACCATGGGGTTCCCCTCGCCCGGACGCTCGATCTTGAAAACTTCGTCCACGAAGACAATCCGACAGTCGTTGAGAGAATCACCCCTACAAGAGAACGGGCCTGTTAGGACGACCAGCGGGCAGTCCCAACGAAGACCCCAAAACACCCGGCCACTTGGACATGTTCTCACAGCCCATGAATAGCTCTGATTCTAATCAAATCGCAGAAGAGGCTTTCGCAGGGCCCTGTGAAATTGCCTAGCTACTACCCTCGCAAATTCAAGTCCTACCAAATCAGGAACAAGGTGAAAACAACAAATAAGCCAGAATTTCATTATGTGATACATTTGAGAGAATAATTTTTAACCTTTGGGAGGTGACACCCACTAATTGGCAAGGCCCATTAAACAAGGCTCAATAGGCAAAAACTATAAAGCAAGTTCTGATCAAAATATGAAAATTTTTTAAAAATTACAAAAATTCCTCTAGGTTAAAATGACCCCAGGATCATCTCACTACTTCCATCAGACCATCTGACTGCCTCCATCGGATCACCCCACCACTACATCGACAACCTACTAGGGAAAGCAAATGTGAATCATGTATAATTTCACACTTTCCGAGAACCACATTTAAATAGTAAAAAATAGATGGCATCAATTTGAACGTGCTCCTTGGAAGGAAAGCTATGACAAACCAAGAGACATCGTATTTAAAAGCAGAGACATCACTTTGCCGATAGAGGTCCATATAGTCGAAGCGATGGTCTTTTCAGTAGTCATGTACAGATGTGAGAGCTGGACCACAAAGAAGGCTAAGCACTAAAGAATTGATGCTTTTGAATTGTGCTGGAGAAGACTCTTAAGAGTCCCTTGGACTGCAAGGAGATCAAGCCAGTCAATCCTAAAGGAAATCAGTCCTGAATATTCATTGGAAGGACTGATGCTGAAGCTGAAACTCCAATACTTTGGCCACCTGTTGCAAAGACCTGACTCACTGGAAAAGACCCTGATGCTGGGAAAGACTGAAGGCAAAAGAAGAGGGCAGCAGAAAATGAGATGGTTAGACAGCATCACTGACTCAATGGACATGAGTTTGAGCAAACTCAAAGAGATAATGAAGGACAGAGGAGCCTGGTATGCTGCAGTGGCAGACATGACTTGACAACTGAACAACAACAAATGTAACCCAATGTATACAAAATATCATTTCAATGTGTAATGAATGTTCAGGAATGATTAACAATCGCTAGTTTACACTCTTTTTCAGCACTAAGTTTTTGAAATCCAGGGTATATCACAGCATATCTCAATGAGTCCTGGCCACATTTCAAGCGCTTGGCAGCATGTGACTCGTGACTGCAAGACTAAATGGCACATGTCCAGATCTACCCACCAGTTCACAGGGAACACAGGAAGAGAGGAACAGAGGAAATGACACCAGGAGGATGCTGGTGGGGAATCCAGACTGTACAGATTTTATGTGACAAACCCAGCCTCCCCAACAAACAAGGAAAAGGAGGGAAAAACAAAGGGACAGGAAACCTAAGATAAAGGAGACTTAAAAAAAGATCTACTGTGGATTTCCCTGGTGGTCCAGTGGCTAAGACCCCAAGCTCCCAATGCAGCGGGGCCAGGTTCCATCCCTGGTCAGGGAGCTAGATTCCACATGCCACAACTAAAGATCCTGAGTGCTGCAACAAAGAGTTCACATGCCACAACTATGGCCTGGCACAGCTAAAGAAATAAGCAAACACAAATATTTTTAAAATAAACAGATCTACCAACTTAACTGAAATCTGTGGACATTACTTAGATCTTAAACAAATTATTTTTTTCTAAATGTGAGTCAATTGGCAGACAGAACAATGACGGGATAGATGTTAAGAAATTCAATTTTCTGTTGTCACAATAGCATGAAAACTGTTTCTGTAAAAGAGTCATTTTAAAGAAATATACTCAAAAGTATTAACAGATACAATGATTCGATGCCTGGGAATTACTTCAATTTAACGGGACGTGGTTACATTCTCAGATGAAGGAAAATTAAAAGAATGTTGCTAGCTGATACTCCTTTATAGAATAATGGAGGAAAGTTCTTCAAGTAGATAGAAAATTAAGAAGGAAGGCATCTGGGAGAAAAAAGACAACAGAAAGGGCAGAAACATGGGTATGTACAGTAGATTATGTTCCTTATGCATTTTCTAAGTCATACATGATGACAGAAATCAAGACACCGTCTGACACTCAAGACAGTGAGTATAAAGGAATGTAAATGCATGAAAGATTTCCACACTTCCCTCAAAGTGGTAACAGAGATATTGGTATGTCACAGGCTTATATGACAGAATCCAGAGAAACCACTAAGAAAACTATGCAAAACAATACATTCCAAAAGACCACCAATAAATCAAGATAGAATCCTAAAAAATGCTTACATAACCCATGGAAGGAGTAAGAGAAACAGGAAAAAGAAAATGGGGAAACAAACAGAACACAAGTAACAAAATGGCAGGCTCAAGCTCTGATGACTCAGTGTTAAAGAATCCACCTGCAGTGCGGGACACGCTGAAATCCCTGGGTCGGGAAGATCCCCTGGAGAAAGAAATGGCAGCCCATCCCAGTGTTCTTGCCTAGGAATCCCATGGACAGAGGAGCCTGTGGACTACAGTCCATGGAGTCGGACACGCCTGAGCAGCACACAAGCCCTAGCATACCAATAATCACCTTAGATGTGTAATGGTCAAGATACTGTTGATCCCTGACCAACATGAATTTGAACTTCATGAATCCAATTATTGGTGGATTTTTTCCAATAGGAAATGCTATAGTACCACACAATCCCCAGTTGGTTGAATCCTCAAATGAGCAACCACAAATACAATGGAACCAGAGATGGGAGGATGGACTGTAAGTTATGCTTGGATTCTCATCTGCACAGAGGTTGGTGCCTCTAACTCCCTAGTTGTTCAAGGTTCAATAATGTATGCCAAGTGGTGGACTTCCCTGGGGGTGCAAGTCGTTAGGAGTCCAAACTTCCACTGCAGGGGGCATGAGTTCAATCCCTGGTTAGAGAACTAAGATCCCACATGCTGCATGTTGCAGCCAAAAAAATATTTAAATAATGGCCAGAAAAGATAACACATGCCAAGGAAGATGCAGACTTGATGAAGTGGATTAAAAAAAAAAAAAGACCCAACTATATACTGTTTATGAGAAACTCCAAATTCAACCACAGTGGTAGAGATACACCATGCATATTCATTCATTCACTTATGGCCATTCTGTGTGGTTTGTAGGATCTTAGTTCCCTGATCAGGGATCAAACCTAGGCTCCCTGTAGTAGAAACAAAAGTCTTAACCACTGGACTGCCAGGGAGCTCCCCATTTATTTTTTTTGTATTTTAAAAAGTGTTATCAATTCACATATACATATCTCAGATAAAATAGACTTCAGAGCAAAGGAAATTACTGGAGACACAAAGAGATATATTACGTAAGGAACAGAAAGACGTAACACACGTGAGTATGTCCACATCAAACAACAGAGCCTCATGATTCTGAAGCTGACAGCAGAAACAGGCAAATCCAGTTACAGATGAACACCGGGACACCCCCTCAGCACAGGACAGAAGTACCAGGCTGAACATCCGCAGGAATGAGAAGATGTGAACACCACAATCAGCCAACACAGTCTAACTGATGTAAACAGAACATTTGCCCCAACAACAGAATGTATTTTTAAAAAAAAAAAAAAAGAACTGTGCAATATTCACCAAGACAGACCCCACTCTGAACCATAAAACAAACCTCAACAAGGACTAGAATCATACAGTGTATGTTCCTGGACCATATAAAAGTCAAACTGGAAATCGGCAACAGAAAGACAATGCAAAAATCTCTAAACACTTGAGAGTTAAACTCCATATTTCTCAATAAGCCAGGAGCCAAAGAGGAAGTGTTAAAGGAAATTGTAAAAACAGAGATAACTGAATAAAAAGAAAAACAACACAGCAAAATATGTGGAAACCAGGTAAGGCAGCGCTGAGGGGGAAATTTACAGTACTAAAATGCTTACATTAGACTTTTAATAATCTAAGTTGCTACCTCAAAAAGACTAGAAAAAGAAGGGCAAAATCAACTCAAAGAAATGGAGAAAATGATAAAGATGACAGCGGGGAGGGGTCAAGACTTCAAGCTTCCACTGCAGCGGGCATAGTTCCTGGTCAGGGAACTAATATGTCGCCTATCTCAGCCATAACTAACTAACTAAATACATACTTTTAAGATGAAAGCAGAAATCAAAGATATAGAAAACAAGAAAACAACATTCTAAGCAAGGAAACAAAAAGCAAGTTATTATTTTTTTTAACAATCACATCGCTGCGCCAGGGCTGATGCCTGGACCTTGCCCCTATCAGCCTCCTCCCTGGTCTCCCTGCTGCCACGCTGCCCCCTGCAGTCAACTCCCAGCTCGCTTGCCTGAGCGATGATTCTAATTACAGGTGGCATCTATGCTCTTCTGTGGTGGCTCAGATAGTAGAGTTCGCCTTCAATGAAGGAGACCTGAATTCAACTGCTGAGTCGGGAAGATCCCCTGGACAAGGGAATGGCAAGCCACTCCAGGATTTCTGTCTGCAGAATTTCATGGACAGAAGGGCCTGGAGGGTTATGGTTCATGGGGTCGCAGAGTCGGACATAACTGAGCAACTGACACGTAACACTTACTCTGTGCTCTCAGGCTCCAAGCAAGGGCTGCCAGCAACAGAGAATACACACCAGCTCTGCACCCCTCCCAGCCATGTCCTGAACACTTCCTCCTCCCCCTCTCCCCTCTAGCCCACTGGCCTCCTCAAGAGGCCACAAAGACACCAAGAATGGTCCTGCCCCAGGGCCTCTGCACTCACTGTGCCTGTGCTCCAGACACGTGCCCGGATACCCATGTCTTGTATACAACATATACAGGGGCATCATTCAGCCACCAAAAAAGGTTCATCGTGCAACATGTACGGACCTTGCGAAAAAAGCCGGACACAGAAAGACACATAGTGTATGATTCCACTTAGGTGAGGTCCCTAGGAGTCAGATTCACAGATCCTAAAGGTAGGTGGTGGGGGCAGGGCCGGGGAGGTCAGTGTTTCAAGGGGACAGAGTTTCAGTTTGGGAAGATGAGAAAGTTCTGGAGATGGATGATGGTGGGGGTGGGGATGGTTGCCCCAACAATGTGAATGTGCTTAATGCCACTGAGCGGTGCACTTGAAAATGGTTAAGGTGCTAAGTGCTTCCCTGGTGGCCCAGTGGCGAAGAAAACACCGTCAATGTAGGGGACACGGGTTTGATCCCTGGTCCGGAAAGATCCCACACGCTGCAGGACAACTAAGTCTGTGCACAACCACTGGAAGCGCACACACTCGAGAGCCTGTGCTCCACAACAAGAGAAGCCACTGCAGTGAGAAGGCCACGCAATGCAACTCCCCCGACCCCCCACCACTCGCCACAACCAGAGAAAGTCCACACACAGCAACAGAGACCCAGTGAGGCCAAATTAGAAAATAGATTTTAGAAAAGACAGACGTCTTAAAATGGTAAAGATGTTAAGCTTTCTACACACACACAGAGAAGCCTGGTAAGGGTTCAGCAAATATGTTCTGCAAAGGGCCTGGCAGTAAATATTTTCAGCTCTGTAGGCTGCCACCCAGCTCTCTTCTGGGCGCCCTCCTAACATGGAGCAGCCACAGTGAAGCAGTGAACAGATGGGTGTGGCTCGGTGCCAATAAAACTTTATTTGCCTGTCAGAGCTGAGGGCCAGCTCTGGCCTGTGGCCGGCAGCCTGTTGACCCCTGATGTGAAGGGCGCCCCGGGTAGGAGTGTGAGGTTCTGGGTATGTTCTTGCCTGTCTGTGCACACACACGTGACCCAGTAAGGTGCTGGGACCAGCCATGTTTCCGGACAGGAGAACCAGGTGACCAGGGAACAGAAGGAAGAATATTAAGTGTGGCCTTCAGTACTTTCCGGACCTGGCCATATTTTTTCACCTGTTTGCCAAATTCAAAACAACAAGCATATAAGAACAAGGAAGCTGGAAACCTCTGCCAGGGCCCCGGAAATAGTTCCGCAGGTGGGGCGTAGAGGGCCCGGCGAGAAGGCGAGGGCCGGGCAGACTCACCCGATCCTGACGTTGGCGTGCAGCTCCCGTGCCGTCCTGGTCTCACGTTTCCGCAGGATCTCGGCATCGTACCAGAAGCCGCGGTCCTTGGGGAGGTCTGGGTTGTAGTTGACCATGACCACCTGGCCCACCTGCAGGTCCTCCCACTTGATGGTGTGTCGGGCTCGAGCCCGGACGTTCTGTGAGGTCATCTGGACCACTCCGTTCTCTGGGTAGCTGGAGGGGAGAGCCCTGAGCTCAGACCTCAGGTACCAGCAGGACTCACCCCATCACCGGGAGACAAGCCGGGCAGAGAGGGCCGCCTGGTGTGCAGGTCTGAGCTACACTCATCACAGCAGCCCAGAAAGGCCCCTCCCCAAGAGCTCATCTGTTGGTGTTAATAACACACAGGCACTGTAACACGTTTCAATTACAGCGGCCCCCAGCCTTTGCAGCACCGGGGACTGGGTTCACGGAAGACAGTTTTTTTCACGGACCAGGAAGGCAGGGATGGTTTGGGGATGATTCAAGTGCATTTACTGTGCACTTTATTTCTACTCTTATTAAAGCAGCTCCACCTCAGCTCATCAGGCATTAGAGCCAGGGGGTTGAGGACCTAACCCCTGGCACCCTGACAAGCAGTGCTTATTGGCACCTAATCTGGAAACAGGGGCTTCCAAGGTGGTGACACTAGCAGTAAAGACCCCGCTGGCCAATGCAGGAGATGGAAGAGATGAGGGTTCGATGCCTGGGTCAGGAAGATCCCCTGGAGAAGGAACTGGCAACCCACTCCCGTATTCTTGCCTGGAGAATCCCATGGACAGAAGAGCCTGGTGGGCTACAGTCCACGGGGTCGCAGAGTCGGACACGACTGAAGTGGCTTAGCATGCCACGCACCCTGCTCATTTAGGGACACTGCTCAATCTGGAAATAGGATTGTTGTAGATAAGAGAAGTTAAGATCAGGTCCTGATAGAGAAGAAAGGTCCTAAACCTAGTGACTGATGGATGAGAGGCAGACAGAGGAGAGCAATGCAGGAAGAGGAGGCAGAGGCAGGAGGAAGGATCACAGCCACGAGCCAGGATAGCCAGTCCTACTGGAAGAGGCAGAAAGGATTCTCCCCTCCAGGTTCTACGAGGGTCTCAGCCTTCTCATCACCTTGGTTTTGGACTTAGGGCCTCTAGAACCATGAGAGGATAGACTATTCCAGCAACAGCAGCAATACTTTGTAGAGCAGCCATAGAAAACTAAGACAGAAGGAAATGCGGGGAGGGAAAGCTTTTTTCCATACATGTGTGTTGATGGTGACTTTTGTAGACGGAAGACATTATATTTAAAAAAGACAGGAAATCATTATTCTGAATATGCAGGAATTCCAAGTGGCCTCAAAAAAGGCGTAAGACAACTGGCTAAAGAGAAGGCACTGGTGACCCACTCCAGTGCTCTTGCCTGGAAAATCCCGTGGATGGAGGAGCCTGGTGGGCTGCAGTCCATGGGGTCACTAAGAGTTGGACACGACTGAGCGACTTCACTTTCACCTTTCATTTTCATGCATTGGAGAAGGAAATGGCAACCCACTCTAGTGTTCTTGCCTACAGAATCCCAGGGACAGGGGAGCCTGGTGGGCTGCCATCTATGGGGTCGCACAAGAGTTGGACACGACTGATGCAACTTAGCAGCAGCGGCAGCAGCAGCATATTCTAAGTAACACAACAGTAAAGCAACCAAACACCAATAAAAATTAACAAAAGATAAATAAGTAAAAAAATTTTAAAAACCTAACATTGTAAAGCAACTATACTCTAGTAAAAGCTATTTAAAAATAAATTAAAATAAATAAATAAATAAAAGTATATCCTATTAGCAACAAAGTTTAGCCTCAGCCTAGAGCGGGGACGATCCCAACTCTACTGTGATGAGCTGGTTAGCCTGGTGTTCATTATTTTTGCTAATAAAGTGCCAAGAACAAGGGTTGTCCAAGTGGTGCTAGTGGTAAAGAAGCTGCCTGCCAATGCAAGAGACATAAGAGACACGGGTTCGACCCCTGGGTGGGGAAAATCCCCTGGAGAAGGAAATGGCAACCCACTGTAGTACTTTCGTCTGGGGAAGTCCCATGGACAGAGGAGCCTGGAGAGCTGCAGTCCACAGGGCTGCAAAGCACTGGACACGACTGACGCAACTTAGCATCAAGGGTTGCCAAGGACCAGACAGTCAATACTCACAGCTTTGTGAGCTACAAGGTGTCTGCTGTGAACACTCAACTCGGCTATTACCACAAGAGCAGTCACAGACGGACAAGATGTAAACAAATGGGTGCTGGTGTGTTTCAATAAAGCAGCTTTATCGTCAAAAACAGGATGCGGGCCAGATCTGGCCCGAGGGTGGGAAGCTTATGAACCCTGACCAAGAGGATGGGAATCTGGCACCTACTACCATTCGCTCATCCAACTACTCCAGTAATTTTTAGAGCTAAGCTTAGGATGTGCCAGAAACTGGTGTGGGCAATAAGAAACTCTGCAGGGAAACAGATGAAGCTCTAGTGCCCTCATACAACATAAGCTCCCTATAGGCAGGCAGGCTTGCCCTCGGTTATGAACTGTATCCCCCACACACATTCTGAAGCCCTAACATCCACTGTGACTGTATCTGGAGACAGGGCCCTTAAAGGTTGTTATTGTTTAGTCACTAAGCCGTGTCCAACTCTTTGTGACCCCACGGACTGCAGCCTGCCAGGCTCCTCTGTCCACAGGATTCTCCAGGCAAGAATACTGCAGTGGGTGGCCATTCCCTTCTCCAGGGGATCTTCCCAACCCAGGGATCAAACCCAGGTCTCCCGCATTGCAGGCAGATTCTTTACCGTCTGAGCCACCAGGGAAGCCCAGGCTGTAATCAGTTAAATGAGCTCATAAGGACAGGGCTCTAATCTAATAGGACTGGTGTCCTTATTAGAGAAGACACCGGAGCTCGCTCTCTCCAAACTCAGAGGAAAGGCCACGTGAGGACGCAGTGAGAAGATGGCTGTGTCCAATCCAGGAGGAGAGCCCTCACCAGGAGCTGACCCTGCCAGCACACTGAGCTCAGACTTCCAGCCTCCGGGACCGTGAGAAGATACACGCCTGATGCTGAAGTCACCCAGCCTGCGGCATGTGGTTATGGGCAGCCAAGCCAAGTCAGAGCCCCTCATTGTTCACAGACGGGAATTCCCCGGGCCCATCACAGGGCTTGCCACACGCTAAGTGCTCCATAAACACTCTGAATTCCTACGACGGAGGGAGGGGACATCACCACCCAGGCAGCTCCAAACACCAGGTCCTCGGAGCCGCTGCTGTCCCAGGCCCACCCCGAGAATACTCACTCATCGTATTTCACGTGATAGATGATGTCGTCCTCTGGCTTTGAGCTGGAGCTGCTGGGCTGGTCGTGAGCCGGAGCCTTCCTGGTTACCCTGATGACCTTGGCCTCGAACCACGCGCCCATATTCGTGTCCCTTGCATCCACATACTCGCCGACCTGCCGGGAAAAGCAGCTCTCATTCAGCCCCAGGGAAATCTGTGAAGGGTCATGGTCTTAAGGGGAGGAGGGCAGCGGATCAGTACTTAGACGGCCCCTGCAAGGACCACAGGGAAGACACCCGCAGGTCCGGTTCCAGGGTTCTGCTTTAGGGGCAGAGAAGGAACCCCTGAGCACTGATGTTTCCACCACGGGACTGAGATGACACAGGGCAGGACGGGGGGCTGCCCAGCCACGGGGATCGGGGACTGTGTGGGGATAGCGATGCAGGAGCCCCACCTTGTAGAGTCCCAGCTCCGTCTCATCACACTCATCCTCGTCTGCCTTCCCTTCTGGCTCATTGGCGGCCTCACCGCTGTTGGAGGACTTGTCCGACTCGCTCTGGGCCAAGCCGCAGCCAGAGTCTGTGTCCGAGAGCTCAGAGTCCCTCTCCTTGATTCCACTGCTGCTGCCGGGAACAGGAACGGGCAGCACAAGGCTCTGCCGGACCAGGAGCTGGATGGTGTCGTTCAGGCGGACGTCGTAGTCAAACAGCGTGTGGCCGTCCTCCATCTGCAGGGACGCAGGCCAAGGTCACCAGGCAAGGGAGCTCACGGGGGGCAGGGGGATGATGGCCCACACCCGCCCTGGCGGAGGCCTGCCAGCTCCTGGGGACAAGGTCACCGAAGCCCTATCCAATGAGGATGCCTGCTGCCACATGGGGGGCGTCCCTGGAAGCATGTGGCCAACCCCACTGAGCCATGGCCACACATCAGGTGTCGGGGGAGGTTTTAATACTTTATGTGCTTTGGAACTTTTGTTACAGTAAACAAGCATTGCCGGTACCCCTGGCTCTCAGGGAGAGTGACCTACCCTGGGGGCAATGCTGTAGGGACATTTCTGGTTGTCTTGACAAGGTGGGGGGTGCTGGGAATGCCCGGGATGGCCCGCAGAGAGAACACCTTTCTGTGATTTCCACCCACATTAGGCACTCACTGATGGGGAGGCTAGGAGCCAGCAGGGCTCTATGATCCACTGGCACCAGGTGACTCACCAGGTATGTGAAGGCGTCTGGCTTCAGAGCACGTCACTAGGGGACGAAAGTCCTTGTGCTGGGAGTTACCTTTCCATAAGCAACTGCCCCAGGGCACCCCACCGACACCCAAAAAGGACCCTCAGCCCTCGGGATCCAGAACACCCTGAGGCAGGCTCTGCTGATCTCCGATCGCTCTCTGGGGGGGTGAGCAGGGGGCTATCATGGACACCACAGGAGCAGCAGCCCTGCCCTCCACCCTCTGGATGCTGGGAGCACCCCAGGTGTGACAACCATGGAGGGCCTCCAACATCACCCAGTGTCCCCTGGTTCAGAAGCAGTGCCCTCAAGAAAGGAAGGAAAGGACCTCCCTGGGGGCTCAGTGGTAAAGAATCCACCTGCCAAGGCAGGGTTCAATCCCTGGTCTGGGAAGATCCCATGTGCCTCGAAGCAACTAAGCCCGTGCGCCAGAAGCCCGTGCGCCAGAAGCCCATGCGCCAGAACTACTGAGCTCTCATTCCTAGAGCCCCGCTCCTCAAGAGAAGCCACAGCAGTGAGAAGCCAGGACACTGCAACTAGACAGTAGCTCCCATTCACCCCAGCTAGAGAAAAGCCTGTGCAGCAATGAAGACCCAGCACAGCCAAAACAAGTAAATTTTAAAAAAAGAAAGAAAAGAACACACAAAAGTCAACTTTCCCTCCTTCCCAATTTTTAACCGGAAGCTGCTGGTTCAAAGGGCTGATTGCCATTAATATGCAAACAGCACCTGGGGTCATGGGGAGGGCACGTTCCAGGTAGTGGTTGTTAATCTTCATTCATCACAAACCTGAGAACAGAATGGCTGAGAACCCCTCTCCCCCAGAAAGACACAAGTGAACACACTTGCTGCAGAGGCCACCAGGGCCCCCTGAAGCCCACCCTGCACAGCCAGGCCCATGCTGCCTGCTCACCCGAAGCCCAGCAAGAGCCTCCGATATGCCCTGCTCTGCCTGGCTGCCAAGGGGGATCAGAGAGAGACAGCGCCAGCCCTCCTACACGGGGCCGACACAGGACAGCGGAGACAGCAGAAGGGACACACACGCACTGTCACAGCCCAGGGCCCAACGACTGATGGACAGATCAACAATACAGTGAGGTCATCCTCATGCTGGGATGTTCCTCATCTCTAAAAAGGAGAGAAGGCACGTCCCCAGCAGTCCAGTGGTTAAGACTCTGCATTTTCACTGCAGGGGGCACAGGTTCAATTCCTGGTCGGTGAACTAAGATCCCCAAGTCACATGGCAAGGCCAAAATAAAAAAGTCAACATAGGTTTCTCAGTTATACCAATTGCACTATCTGGCAGGAGACAGGTGGGGAGAATGGCGGGGGCGGGGCGAGGGGTGGCCACAGGGTATATGAGAAATTTCTGTACCTTCCTCTTAAATCTGTGAACCTAAAACTGCTCTAAAAACTAATGTTTATTAGTTTAAAAACAATGGTGGAGAAACAAGTGTCCCCAGCATCACTATGACAAGGAAACCAGCAGAACGTCATTAAAATGTCATTAAAAAGGATGATGACAAGAGGCAGGCACCTGGTGCCCAGCACCTGCACGGTTAGGCAGACACCCCTCAGCACTGCGGACATTAAGCACCCCCACTCTGATCATTCTCTTTCTGGGGAGGTGGAGCAGAATCCCTGCTCCCCCAACTTGATGTCAGGAACACCCCCTAGTTGTGATAACTGATGTCTCCAGACACTGCCCAGAGCCCCAGCAGGGCCAAACACTCCCCAGGGAGAACCACTGAACTAGACACAGGTAGCCTGGAACTTATCATGCTCAGGGCAGCATCATCTGCCAGCCAAGCAGCGGTTCATTCCTACAAAGACATAGGACACAGCTGAGCATGACAGCTAAATGCAGGGGAGTAGAGGCGTTCCCCACATACATCAGGGGAAGCAAGGATGGTTTCAGAGGATGAGAAATAATAAACCAAAGCACCAGGACAGGGGAGAGGCAGTGGGAGAGACTCGGGGCCAGGAGGGGGCATGTGGTCGGACTTCTGTTTTACAAGAAGCTCCGGGATAGAGGCCTAGCAGGAGCCAGGGTGGCAGAGCTGGGGGCGGGGGCAGAAAGGCAGCTGGGGGTGTGCAGGACAAGGAGGGTGGGTGGGGAAGATCAGGACCTGGCTGAGGGCTGTAACTAAAGGCGGCAGGAGGAATATTGATGGGGCCATCTGTGATGGGTCAGGAAGCTAGATAGATGGGAGCGGCCCACACACACAGACGCAGACACACACACACACTCCCCTCCTGGTGCAAGAGTGCAGCAGGCAGAGGTGCGATCAGGCAGGCTGGGCACTGAGGAGGCCACATGCTGGGCCAGGCTAGCCCGGGGCTCCACCTCCAGGATGGAACGCAGACTGGTCTGACTGCTTCAGAGGACCACTTCTGGAAAGTTCCAGAAGGGCCCAAAGTGGGCAGGAAGGAGCTTGCACAACCACTTGCTATGACAAAAGGGTGTGTGTCGGATGCCCCCTTCCCCAACCCTGCTAGCCTCAAGTTGCACACAGCAGGGAGGTGGGCTGGAACCAGTGAGGATATGGACGCCGAACCCAGGGTTTCTTCTAAGGTCCTAAAACTCCAACTGAGGCTAACAGCATTGATAAAAGCTATACAAGGGACTGTCCTGCCTGTCCTGTGGTTAAGACGCCAAGCTTCCAATGCAGAAAGCATGGGTTCAGTCCCTGGTGGGGGAAATAAGATCCCATATGCCACCCTGCAATAAGTTAAAAAAAAAAAAAAAAAGGTGAAATTAACACATACAGTTTAAATCCCTGGTGGTTCACATGGTAAAGACTCTGCCTGCAATGCAGAAAACTCAGGTTTAATCCCTGGGTTAGGAAAATCCCCTGAAGAAGGAAATGGCCACCCACTCCAATTATTCTTTCCTGGAAAATTCCACGGACAGAGGAGTCTGGTGAGCTGCAGTTCGTGGGGTCGCGAAGAGTTGGACAGGACTGAATGACTGACATTTCAACACAACATTGTAACAACACTGTAAATCAACTATACTTGATTAAAATAATTTTTTAGAAAATTCAAAAAATAAAAGGTATTCAAACTGAATGGCAAGCTGGATCTTAGGTTGCAGATTCTCATGTTAAAAATTAAACATGCAGTTAGAATCCTGTACAACCAGAATTGCAGGTGAAAATCCCTTAAGCTGCCTGGGGTGGTAGTTTAGTCACTCAGTTGTGTCCAACTGTGTGCAACCCCATGGACTGCAGCCCGCCAGGCTCCTCTGGCCATGGGATTTCTGAGGCAAGAACAGTGGAATGGGTTGCTATTTATTTCTCCAGGGGATCTTCCTGACCCAGGGATCAAACCCAAGTCTCCCGCATTGTAGGCGGGTTCTTTACCACTGAGCCACCAGGGATTTAAACTGCCTGCAGTAAAACACAAGACACGTGGTTTGGGGCACATTCAGGTGTAAAGGCCAAGCTGCCGGCGGCATTTAGATCACATCCCTCTTTTAAACCAGAAGCTTTCTGGACTTGGGGAATTCTGGGCATGCACATGGCAGTAAATGAAATAAACACAGAGGACATCTGACAACGGAGCTTCCTCCCAGGAGCCCAGAGTCAGAGCCGCCCACTTTCTGCCCCCTTGGGGCGTTGGGGAGACACTTTTGAGGTGTGAGTGCTGCTCAGAGCACAGGAAATAAATGACCCTGGGTCTGGCAAGGGGTTGTTCTCCTGGACTGGGGAGAAGTGGAGAGGTCATAAACCAGACCAGCGCGTGTGAGCCTCTTGTCAAGAGGGACCTCCAGCAGGAAGAGGCTGGGGCCTCTATAAAGACCCTTCCTGCGGCTGCAGTCCCAGCCCCCACAGTCCCGTCTAAGACTCCAAGCCTCCCCAGCAATGTGGGGTTCAGGCCAGACAGATGGACAGAGATGGGAGAAGGAAGAAAAGGTATGATTCAGGCCGTGGCAGAGGGACATGCTTCCCGCTTCAGGGGGAGAGGTGGGTGTACAGGCATGACCCTGCCTGTCCACCGATCAGTCCTGACACGTGAACTCTGCCCTAGGACCCCCCCCAGGCCACAGCCCAGGTCATGCCCTGGACAGGCATTTACATTTCAGGGGTCTGTGAGGCCCAGGCTACCTACCCTGACATGATACTGTGATGTCACTGGCCAGCCTCATGACCTTGCAGGGGCATGGAGCCTGTGTGATATGGGCTGACACCACCATTCCAATGCCTAAGGAAACGTACATGTGTGTTTTCTCTTGCTCCATAGGGTCACAAAGAGTTGGACATGACTGAGCAACTGAATAACAACAAATTTTTCACCATTTGCAAATTCTAATAGGACATAAAATGACAGACATGATCCATGTCCACAATGCTCTCTGGGGTCCTCCATCGTTTTGAAGGGTGGAAGGGGTGCTGAGTCCAAACAGTGTGACACCCATGCCCTGGAGGGACACCTGCAACACCCACCGCGCCCTGGGTATTTGGTCCAGCATGTCCCACAGTACAACCGGCATCTGCCACCCTGGGAGGAAGCCTGTATGTAACTGCCACACCTCAGCCAGCGGGACAGCTCCCACTGACAAGGGGAGGCCCTGCACAAAATGATTTATCGCTTGGTAAATAAAGTTCTACCAGGACTCAAATCAGGACATGCCCACTCCTTTGGGCTCAGGATCTATTCCTGGCTTTCAATGGCAGAGGTGAGTAGACAGACTGCCTAGCCGCAAACGGTTTCCACTGGGTCCTTAACAGAAAGAGTTTGCTAACCCCCAACCTAAAGGGCGTGTCTCCAACTGCAAGGAGGGTGTTTGGGGGAGAAGGAAGGAAGGGACCCTCTCTCCTGCAGCCAGGTGGACAGGTCTCAGCAAGGGGCTGTCCGATTTACTGCATGACTCTGTCATTTGGGAAAAGGGGCAGACCTTCAAAGAAGGCCCAGCAGGGCAGGGCCATCTGGTGGGGCACTGTGACATGAGTGACCCTCAGAAGGCCACTCCCAGGATGCCATTTCACCTGAGCCTTCGGACAGCTCTCCTATAGTAAATCAAAATCACCGACTAAATAATTAGTTCTCTTCTCAGCTGGGAGCAACTTTGCCCCCAGGGGGCAGTTGGCAATGTCTGGGGACCCTGTGGACCTTATGACTGGGGGGGTAAGGGGGTGCTCCTGGCATCAAGTGAGCGGGACCGAGATGCTGCTCCACACCCCATAGCGCTGGGGGATGAACCCCCCCATGGAGGACGATCAGGCCCTGACGTCAGCAGTGCCCAAGGGGAGGCCCTGCACTAAATGATTTATCGCCACTTTACTGTGAACCAGGAGGGAAGCTCGGCCCACACCCCGAATCCGTGACCTCACTGAATCCCACCAAGTACACGTTGTGGGCCCACAATTAGCCCCATCTGACTGCAAAGCACAGACTGCCCTGGCCAGAAATACTCGGCGGGGCACTTGGGACGATCAGGCCCAAGTATGGCACCTGAGCGCCGTTACCAGCACCACCAATGACAGCTATTGTGATTTTTCTGGGCAGCCAAAAAAAAAAGACAAAGAAAGAAGCACCAGACGCCTCTCACCCTTGCCCAGGCTGGGCCAGCCGCCCAGGGTCCCTTCCCCCATCCAGCTCCCTGCATTTCCGCCAATCAAACAACATAACCGCCAACCTATTCAGCCTAAGCTAGCTCGCCGCGGGACCCTCCCATATCCTGAAGACAGACTCTGCTTGGTTCTGCTTTACTGGCTCGAGTGACCTCACCACAGACCTGGGACTGCATGCGATGCCCTGTTTCTTTAAAAAAAAAAGGGGGGGAGGGAAGGAATCTCGAACACTCTCCAGAACGTTCTATAAAAACAACAGCTCTCTCGCACCTGCTGGAGGCTGCACGGCCTCCTAGGGTGATTAGCCCAGTCTGTTTGCAGACCTGACTTGCTTCAAGGTGCCTTTGTCCCCCACTCGCCTGGCACTGTCCACACCTCCCTGAGGCCAGGCCACTTCCTGGTCGCGCAACCTTGGGGAAATTGCATCACGCTGAGGCCTGGCTTCCTCACCCGGAAGACAGAACCGACTACGCAGTGGCCCAGTTGAGCACGGGGAAGGGGATGAACAGCGGTTAGAGGAGGTTACTCAGGAACAAGGAACCTTCTGAGATCTTCAGAAGCTGCACTTCGAGCAGACAGACAGACAAACCTAAGGATTAAAGCCACGCTGCTTATCATTACGCTTTACAACTCACACAGGCAATACCAAGACTCTGGTATGGATCAGATGCCATGCTGCCCATGCAGGAAGAGAGGGGTTTGGTCACACGAATGCATGCATTTGTCAACATGCCAAACCATCTGCTTAAGACGTGTTTCTCACTGTATGCAAATTTCCTCAGAAGAAACAAGAGCTACAAACAAACACAGTACTCTAGTTAAGGACTGGCCAGCTGGAGGGTCTACGTTGACGTGAACTGGAACTTTCTCTGCAATGCATCTCCCAAAATAAAATGGGCTGGTGGACGGACAGAGGCAGAGACAGCTGCGTGATGTCAGTGATAAAAGCCACGGGTAGGTGTTTAGGCGTTCATGGCTCTTTCAACTTCTCTGCATGTTTTTGAATGTAAAAATTAAAGTGCATGGCGCCCAAGCCCACAGCAGGCATTCAGAAATAGTCACTGCCTTGAATGTAAGGATTCGATCCAACCTGCCTTTGCATGATGCCACGGACTGTTTAGCCCGTGCCCATGGGAGGTCTTCGGAAATTCAGCACAAGGACCTTTTGCTGAACGAAAGACTGGGGAACAAACTGAAATCAGTATGGACGTCCCCAAAAATGAGCCTCTGTTGGAGGTGGCAGGAAAGAGGCTCCGCTCCCGAGAGACCACATCCCAGGGGAGCGCCACTCCCAGCCCTGCCTTTTCTCCAGCCGCACAGCGCACGTGACCACAGTGAGTGAGTCCCCCAGCTTCCCTTCCCCAGGCGGGGCGCGTTAACTCAAGATTCTTAAGACATTTAAGTCCTCGTATCTCCCACAGGAAGGAGGCGAGAGGTCTCGGAGGGCGCCTTGAGCGCAAGAAATTAATCATCAGGTCTCATTTCCAGGAGGCAGGCAGGATCCTCCCAGGCCCTAAAAAAAACACTCCTGGCCAGGCAGACAGCACCTATTTTTCAATTTAGACACCAGATGGCGGCAGCACCCAGTTTAAGACCTGACAACAACAAAGTCAGAACCCAAAGGAACACTTTTAATCCTGGGTAGTCTCTATACAGAGGTCGCCGAGGTCCCTACAGTCCACTCGCCTTCCAGGGTGGCCCCAGCAGACAGGAAGGACATTTTCCGTAGGACCATCTTCTCCCACTCAGCGACACCCCAACACAGCCTGGCCTACTGTCCCCTCTGAAGATACCAACAAGAATGAAAACTCCCAGGGGTGTCACTGGAGAAAGCGTCTCCAAAGTGGGCAGCTGATAAAGCCAAGGGGTGGGGGGCATTTTCAAAGGCTACAGGGGCTGTGGTGGGGAATCTTGAAGAAAGGAAACAGGGCCAGTTGAGCCCGCGTAAAGCACAAACCCCGTTCAGGGGCAGCCCCACCGCCTCCGCCAGACAGGAGGCCCAGGAGTGGCGGAAATTCCTGATTAACAAGCACCGTCTCTGACTCTGAATAAGCTGATTCCAATTTCTAGAAAACCCCATGGGGGTCGGAAAATAGTAAGGTGCTGACCGACCGTAGACCTTTGGTGTGTGTTTCAAAGAAAAATCTGGTCTCTTCTGTCCCGGTGTGTGAGTATTGATTCTAGGCTCTTCCTTGAAATTCATCAGCCCTCCAACGGCCACCTCCAACCTCTTTTTTCTAGAAATTATTTTGAGGGGAGCGTCCACAAAGGGGAGGGCTGGGAGTTTAAAAGACCTCCAAACGCAACAGATTCGTGTGCCCGGCTGCCCGCCTGGAGTGTCAGTCTAGGAGTCGAGCCTTTGTTCCTCGCTCAGGCACTGGAGGTTTCTGTGGAGAAGCAGACCGGACGAGGTGGGGGGGAAGAGTGTGTGTGCCCTGCCTGGATGAGGCAAGAACAAAGGTGCTGGGCAGGCAGGCAGGCGGGCAGCCTGCAGGGCGGGTTTACCTGCTTGCCCCGGTAGAAAAGCCTCTGCAGGCCTGGCTCCACGTGGAATAGCTCCTGGATCTTCTTTCTCAGCTCCTCCACCTTGGTCAGCCTGGACAAGGAGTCCACGGTGTGGGCCACCTTCCCGTCCATGGTGCGAACCTGGATCCACATGGTGCCTGCTGGAGCTGCGAGGATGAGGGAGCGACACCCCTGGTCAGTTCTGCCGTCAATAACACCACCATGGCTGTGCCATATTCGGGTCATCCTTGCTATTGTCCAGACTGTGGACACCAGGTAACTCTTGGAATGCCCTCCCAGCCCCTTATTCCCTATAACCTGCCACAGCTGGCCCAGGCCCCAGGCCCTGAATTAAGAGATAATGCGTTAATCAGTAGCACTGGTGGAGGATTGAGGAGGGACGGGAAATTAGGGGAGAGTAAAAGGTACCTTGAGCTACTCAGTCAACGAACCCTGCCTTTCACAGGGGAGAAAACAAAAACACACTAGGATACAGAAGAGAAGGGGCACACAGTCAAACAGTGAGGGGCCGAGTTTGTTTGTTCGTTCGTTCATTCATTCATTCATTCCCTGGATGAACACTGACGCGAGAGGGAAACCCAGAAGTCCCGCTTTTGACTGAAACTTCCGAAGTCCCAGGGAACTCAACTAAGCGGGACCGAAGGGGAAGAAACCCACTCGAGACCCGGGAGCTGGGGACCCCGTGTGCCCGCGGACCCCCACTGTACCCCCGACCCGCGCGCGCGCTTGCGCGACGCGGCGGGCCCCGCTGTGGCCATGGCAACCGGCCGCCCCGTCCCGGCCACCCCCGCGCGGGCAGCACTACTCACTTCTGCCCCACGGCCGCCCGGAGCTCCAGCCTGCGTTTCCCGGACCCCGACGCACGGCCCCGTAGCCCCTCTTGTTCTCTCGCTCGCCCGCGCGGGCCACGCCAGCGAGCCCACGCCCACCCCCCACCGCCGGGACGGCCAAGGGGCCCGCGCGCCAGGTCCCGCCCCCTTCACTTGAGCCGCCTCACTGATTGGCTCCGCCGCGGTCGGCCGCCCCGCCCCTCTAGCTCCTCATTGGCCCAGACGCGCCCGGGGAACTAAGGGCGCGCGAAATCGGGCTCGGGCGCGACAATTGAATCGCGGGGCGCCCCGCGCGCAGGCGCGGAGCCTGACATCCTCCCCCGCGGCTCGCCGGGCCCTCCCCCACCGAGCCGGCGCGACCCCCGCGGGGCGCCTGGGATATTCCGCTCGCTCCTGCCAGAGCCTGGGCTTCCGGGGCGACTTCTAAGGGCCGGCAGGGTTGGGGGCAAAGCCAGAGACCGCGTGTAGGGTAGCCCTGGCGCGGGGAAAATGTACTCCGTGCTGGCAGAGCGTCCCGGAAAGTTTTGCAAAGTCAAGGCGCCGGGTGCGCCGAGTCCTGCCCGCCTCCCCCCGTCCGCGCCCTGGCCCGGGCTGGCACCCCAAACGGCCTGACCGCTCACGATCCACTCGCCTGCTTGCGCGCTGGCCCTTCTGAGGATGGCAGAGGAGCCGCGTGTGTGGCCAGGACCCTGCGCAGACGTGTGTGCGATCCCGAGCGCCCGGACGGCCACCACTGCCCGCTGCGCTGCCAGCTGCTCTGATTTTTTTCCCGCGAAAACTTGGCGTTTGGGAGTTGCGGGGCCACAGGAGGCCGCGCCGGGGGCGGGCGCCTGCCTGGTGATTGGCCGCCTCAGTGGCGGGAAGCGAGAAAGGGGGTGGGGGGCGCCCCCGCCTCTGTCCACCCCCCCTCCGCCCAGCGGGCCACGGCCCCGCCCAGCCCTGCGCGCTCTGCTGGGCGCGCCCAGTGTGCAACGGGGCCGGTGGCGGGACCTGGGCCCCCTCATCATGGGTGCTCTCCATGAGCCCTAAGGATCACCCCCAGGGCAGAGACCCCCAGGGTAGACACCCCTGACCTTCTAAGTCTGTTCCTTCAGCCCCTCTTACCAGGCATGCACTGACCAGTTGGGCAGGAAGACCAGAATCAGTGTAAATTATACAGGAGAATTTGGGGATATCCCCCCAGAAGACCTCCTGCACCCCGATGACGGGCCTGATCGCCCCAGCTCGGTTTCCTTGCGCCAGGGCCCTCCAGCTCTCCCCACCCTACCCACCCGCAGGGCTTGTTTGCTGGTTTTTCCCGCCTCGTTTTCCCGCCTTCTCCTAGCTGTCCAGGCGGGCAGGGCTGCCCTCCCCCCTCCGCCCTGCCTGCTCTGCTCTGACCAGTCCTGGCGGGCACACAGTGACCCATTCTGGGCACCTACAAAATGCCTGAACAGGGTGTTCAGAGCTGGGGGCCCAAAAGTGGGCAAGGCCCACCCTGTTGGTGGTCTCCGAGAGGTTAAATTCTTATCTGGGGAGACCAGCAAGAAATGAATCAATAAAGCAAATCATTTCAGATACCACACGTGCCATGAAGACAGGACAAGAGCTGGAGAGTGACCAGCAGCCATGTGGGAGGGCGGGGAGAGGAGGCACTCTGGTTGAGGTGGAGAGGTGGGCCTCTCTGGACAGATGACATTTGAGCTGAGATCTGAGATGAGAAACCAAGGACAGACGGATCGAGGCGGAAAGAGCAAATGCAGAGGCCGGAAAAGGCTTAGAAATGGACAGAGAGCCAGGCAGATGCAGTGAGAGGGAGGGCGGGCGGGAGCGAATGAGGTCAGAGGGGTGTCATGTAAGACCTCACAGGCCACCAGGAGGACTTTGGTCTTTCTCTGGAGAGCAGTGGATAGGGTGGGAGGGCTGTGAGCTGAAAACCAATGAGCTCCAATGTGTGTTTTCACAAGGTTTCTCTGGCCACACATAGAGTTCCTTCTATCTTGGCTCTGGTATTTCTGCTTTTATTTCTCCCAGCGGTAGACAGATGAATGGCCCCCAAAGATGTCCACGTCTTAATCCCTGGGATCTGTGAATATCATACCTTCCATGGCAAAAGGGACTCAGCAGATGGGGTTAAACTAAAGATTGTCAGATGGGGAGATTATCCTAGATTATCTGGGCTGGCCCAGTATCATCATGAGGGTCCTAGTAAATGAAAAAGAGTGGTGAGAGGGTCAAGTCAGAGAAGTGACAATGGAAATAGAGGATGGAGTGATGAAAGCAAAAGGCAAAGGATATGGGAAACCGCTAGAAGCTGGAAAAAACAAGGGACAGATTCTTTCCTAGAATTCTAGAACGTAATCCTGCCAACACCTTGACTTTAGCTCCATTTCACACTTCGGACCTCCAGAACTGTAAGAGAACTCCGTTGTCTTGTTTGAAAGCATGGAATTTGTGGACGTTTGTTACAGCAGCCATAGGAATGAATATACTCCAATCACAAAGTCGAGATGCTCCTATTAATTTCCCCCCACCTTCAGGACATCGCCAACACAACTGATCTCGTTTATCGAAACTAAGCTATCAGCTACGTGGTGACCATGTTGCAGATGTGAGCAGGTAGCCAGGCCCCCCCAACCTTGTGAGGCAGATGAAATCTTCCATACTGGCAACATCTCTGACAGGAACCCAGCCCTTTTCTGGCAAGAGCATAGCCTCTCTCCGTGCCTGCTGTTGTCAAAACTCAGCATGGCTGAAAAAGAAATAGACTCTATATTCCTTGTGTACACTTGGTACAGGGCACACAGTCCAGCCTCCTTGGATATCTGAAGTCAAGCAACACAGAAAGAGGTGTCTGGTTTTCCCTGCAGAAAAGACCTTGAGCAGTGGTGATGAGGGGCCCCACCCAATCTCTCTACTCATTTCAAGAAAGTCAGAGGGGTTGCTTGGGTTAATTAACAACCATGAACAAGAAACTACGCCAGGCATCTTTAAAAGAAGCTTACCAACCAGTTGGAAAAGCAAAATGTTGATGTCCGCAAAAGACATCACATCAAAGACAGCAAGATATGACATAGTCATGAGGCCTGCCAGAGCCTGGAGAACAGACAGAAGCTTCCTAAAGCTTCTTCTGTTTTGCTGTCCCTCCTACTTAGGCACCAGCCCACGTGCAGATCAGGCACCCTGAGGGTGCAAAGGGCTTCAGTTTCCCTTTTGCAAAATGATATGCACTTGACAATCATTAAGTCACTGAACAGACTTTAATTGCCCTCCCTTGTCTGCACCAGGCCCTGGGTCCAGCAAACCAAGTCCCACCCTATAGGGACTTCTTGTGCAGTGGAGGAGCAGGAGGAAAGACAGTCATCAGTTGTGCAGGGAGATGGTGCTTTGTGATGGTGTCCATGATCACGTGGAGCCCAAAGTGCTCTGAGCATCTCCAAGACACAGCAAATCCCATGTCCTAGCTATCGATATCATTTTCCTTCTAATATACATTAATAGAAATAGAGAGCTATTAAAGACAAAATGATTGGGACTTTCCTGGTGGTCCAGTGGTTAAGACTCCACTGTGTCACTGCTGAGGTCACAGGTTCAATCCCTGGTCAGGGAACTAAGATCCCACAAGCTAAACGGTATAACCAAAAAAAGAAAGAAAAAAAAAAGTGAAAATGATTATCTGTATAGGACCCAGCATCTGTGTGTGAACCCTGAGGAGGGTGCACAGGCCACATGTGGGGGCCATCCGATGGGGCAGAAGATACCCCTGGGCTCATCCCCTCTCCATCTGTAAATGAAGCTTATGATGCTTATCTCACCAGAGAGCCTGGGAGAATTCTTCCTATCCAGGCCCCAGACATCTGGCAAGATGACAGTTGTTCCCTGTATGCCAGGAATATTGCTATCTTGTGGTTTTATTTGTTTGCTGTTTCCTAGAAAAAAAAGGTCAGGCTACCATTTCATCAACCAGTGAGGCCTTTGGGATTCCCACACTGCCGCCCACCCCCAAAAACCTTGCCCCCACCAATCCTGGCCATTGGGAACCCCTTCCCAGAACCCTGACTGGCTGATGTCACAGACAGATGACCTCACTGCGGCCGAGGATCTCTGTGACATGGGGGAGGGGGAAGGATGTTTCTCCATCACCCCAACCCCCCATGTCTGTGGTGAAGTCGATCGAATTAGTGCTGCCCAAGGATGCAGTCTACCTGGCTGGCTGCATCATCGAAGGACAGGTGGTCCTAACTCTGAACAGCACCCTGGTGGACCCCATCGTGAAGGTGGAGCTTGTGGGAAGAGGTTACGTGGAGTGGAATGAAGAAACTG